GTGGGAAAGCAAGTGTCCCTCCAAGGGAGGCCATGAGGAAGGCAGCTGGAGCGTGGTTACAAGCTCTGAATTCTAGAGCCAACAGGATCATCTCCACCCCCTGTTCAGCTGTGCTGAGAGTGCTTTGCCTTAAGTACCATGGTCCACCAGGATGTGTTACTCCTGCTTGCCCCTCTCCCTGCAGCCCAGGACTGCAGCTCACGTACCTGCCCGGGGTGACCCATGGACAATGACAACAATCCCTTTGCGCTGCTGTGCTTTACGCCTCTCTGAAGACGGGTCAATGCCCAGGTGGCGCATGACAGCCCGAGAGATAGGATCCTCAGTCACTTTCTCCATGGGCTCAGGACAGGATGTGAGAGCTTCTGCTGCAGTGCAAAACCAGGGGGAAAAGTCAGCCTTCTGCCTGCCTTTGATCCTCACCATCCTTCCCATCTCCTCAGATCCCAGGAAAGGAGACTTAGTGAAAGCAACATGAGCTTGTTTTTTTGTTGCTAGGAAGGTGCAAATATAAAAGAGCCAGTGATATTAGACCTGGTCCTACTGGCTGAAGAACTCATCCAATCCTAGTCTTAGTGGCTAAGGGACACAAGGGAATAGCCTGATTATTTCCCCAGTCTAGGGCAGACAGATAGAAGTTGCTTTGGCTACTCTCACGGTTGGTAGACAATGCCACAGCCCTTCACCAAGAGTTCCCCCACCAAGCTGGGGAACAGACAGCTGCTAAAAGCATGGGCTTTCCCTGGAGAACAAGGTGACAGCAAGTCCAGGGTGGAAGGGCTGGACTCCCTGCTGTGACCACGGTCAAAACAGACACCACTAAATCCTCACTGTTTTTCTGACCTGGTGCTGCCTCGCTCATAGACTTGGCCTCAGCCTCAGCCGTGGCCTCCACCTCTGCCATAGCCTTGAGCTCTTCCTGTTGAGCCTTCAGACTCTTCTGTGCTTCATAGTCCTCCAGCACCTCTGGGGGCAGCATCCCACCCGCGGCACGTGGAGGCATTAAAAAGGTATTTTGGTACTCAGACCCGACTGCCATCCGCAGGATCTGTGTGTGTAGGGAAGAGAAACCACATGCAAGATTCCTTTTCTCACCTTTCATCACACACACTCAAACAACCCCGTTTTCTGTCTCCTCCCTTCCTCCCAACCTGCCACAGCATGTCAGCAGAGATGGCTTTGCCCTGGAGATTGCCTCCATCTCCCTGGCACAAGCTTGGGAATGCTGGAGTGCTGTGAAGCTTGGGCAGCATGTACACGGGGACCAGACCTGCCTTCTCACCTTCTCCTCCTCAAGGTACTGCTCATCAAAATCCAGGGAGTAAAACTCAATGGGGAAGTTGCATGGGTTCTTCACCACCACTGTGGCCTCCACCCCATCGCTGTCCACCAGCACCCATCCCATCTTTAGTGCTGGGGGACTGAACTCCAACCGTGGCTCCAACCCTTGTCCTGAGAGGTGCAGCTTTAAGTGATTCCTGCTCCCACAAATGTTAAGCTTCAGCTCATTCTGGTAAGACCTCTGAAAAGACAAAAGTGCAGAGAACTCATCCATGAAGTCCCAGGTGACAGGACCCCAAATACCATGCTTGCCCCAAGGTCAGGGTGTTATCAGTCCCTCCAAGGTGAACAGAAACCAGATATTTACTTATGCAAGGGACTATGGCATCTGTGTCTGGGTCTGAGTAACTGGGATGAGTCCTGGTGTGCACTGTAACTGGGTACTGGGTATCAGATGGATGTACAGTGGAGTGCCAGGCATTTTCACCCAGTCATGCAGGAGTGCAGTGCTCAAGAGAAGGGCCCTTGGGGTTACAGTGTCCACACCCAGTCCTGGCACTGCTGCATCAGGCAAACGCCAGCTCCAGGAGAGAGGCAAATGAGCTCTCACTGGCCAGAAATAAGGGTCACCTTCTCTGCTTAGTGTTTGGCTCTGATCAAAGCCAGACACAAGATGGTTACATCTCTTGAGCAATTAAAATGTTCCTGGGACTGTCTGTGGGCACAGAAGCACTTGTGTCCATACTGGTACACACTGTCACTTTCCAAGACCCAGCGGCCACAGGCAAAGTACTTTTGGGAATGCTCCATCTTTTAAGTTGAATCCCCAGCTGCATGGGAATGTGAAGGCAGGCCAGAGCCCAGGGACTGACTGCTGGCAGCACACCACGACAGGTGACTGTCCTGCCATGCTCAGGAAGGTGTCTGGTGGCTGTTTTGCCAGTCAGTTGTGCAGCAGGATGGGCCTAGAGCGGCCATTCCAGGATTATCCTCTGCGAGTGTGCAGCTGCTCTGCACCGAGTGTCGCAGCTGCAAACAGGGCCAGGCAAGGGGGAGGCTGAGGGGAGCTGGGCACATCCCTCCCCTGTGCCAAGAGGCAGCCACAGAGCCCTGATGCTCTCTGTGCAAGCTCCCTGGGTGTAGACGCGATTTCTGAACCGGACAGAATTTCAAGCTCTCAGGAGCTGATTGTTCCCAAGGGAAAGTCTTGGGAATCTTTCCTCGCTTACAGACTGTTTGTGTAAGTAAGAGTCTGCTTTTCTGAAACAAGACACAGATGTTCTGAGTGTTTTCTCTCTTGTCCCACCAATGGGAGGAGAAAGGTGTTGTTCCGTCTAACAATTAAGGTGACCTGATCGAAACAGCTTATACAAGAGTTAACAAAACCCAGAAATAAAAGCTTCTTCACTTCACGAAAGCTGGCTGCTGTATGTGTGATTTGTCAGAACCCTTCGCTATACTTCGTGTCCTCTAGCGATACCTGAGGGCATTTCAGAGCACTTCTCCTGGGAGTGCTCTGTGGGGTGAACAGAGCCGCACGGGGCTTGCAGAAAGCCCCCTGTGAAGGCAGAGCTCGTATCACACTCTCTGCAGCAGGCCCTCATTTCCAGAGAGCCCTGACAGGCCTCCTGGGCCGAGACAGCCCTGACAGGCCTCCTGGGCCGAGACAGCCCTGACAGGCCTCCTGGGCCGGGATAGCCCTGACAGGCTTCCTGGGCTGGGATAGCCCTGACAGGCCTCCTGGGCCGAGACAGCCCTGACAGGCCTCCTGGGCTGGGATAGCCCTGACAGGCCTCCTGGGCCGGGATAGCCCTGACAGGCCTCCTGGGCTGGGATAGCCCTGACAGGCTTCCTGGGCCGGGATAGCCCTGACAGGCCTCCTGGGCTGGGATAGCCCTGACAGGCTTCCTGGGCTGACAGCTGACACTGTGCCGGATTTTCCCCAGCCAGCTCCCGGCACCAAGCCCAGAGCAGGCTGTCCCTGGAAAGCAGGGCAGCTTAGGGCTGATGCTCTACAGCACAGGCTGTCCAGCCTCGAGGGCAGGAGTAAGGACAAGGGACAGGTCTTCCATGTGCCTTCCAGAAAGGATTTATTCTCTTGAAGGTTCCAGGGACAAAAGACAAAAGATACAGGGCTACAGCAACTTGTATAGGGGGAGAGGAGCAAGGGGAGTGCACAAATAATAACCCAATAGGGAAGACTTAGGGGAGGAGCACAAGGCTGGTTTATGCATTATTACATAATACATAAACCAGTGGGGAACACAAGGGGAGGAGAGGGGGGCACATGGCCCAATGGGACTCGGAGGAATAGGGGAATTCCAAACAGGGCGGTCCAGGCAGGGGAGTGGCACAAGGGAGGATTGACAACTTAATGGGAGGGGGAACAGGGAACATTTGGGAACAAGGGGCAGGCATCAGGGTGGATTGGCAACTGGGGTAGGCGGGCACAGCTGGGACTAAACTATTAACAATAGGAGAGAGGGTACAACTTAACAATAAAGAATGTAATTGAATCATACATAATGAACAACAATGCACAGCAACAGACAGCTGCCAATCTCACCTCCTCCTTGGGTGTAAACTGGATTTTCAAGTTCTGCCATTTTCCTGCATCAAGGGTTCCTTTGGATGGTGTCACTTCAAAGGGACAGGGCTCATCCTCCAGCGCCTGCTGCTCCTGACGTTGCTCTGGTGTCATGTATTTGAGTTGATTGCTCTGGATACAGAAACCAATGGTGTGAGGTCTCCTCAGTTTGAGGAGAGAGCCTCAGAGATATCAGTACATATACATATACATATACATATACATATACATATACATATACATATACATAACATATACATACACATACACATACACATACACATACACATACACATGTACACGTACACATACACATATATGTATACATACACATACAAATAAACATATACATACACATACACATGTACACGTACACGTACAATATCAGATAGATAGATAGATAGATAGATAGATAGACAGACAGATAGATAGATAGATATAGATAGATAGATAGATAGATAGATAGATAGATAGATAGATAGATATAGCCAAACCAAGTGTGGCCCCCATAGCCTAGAGCTGGAGGGAAAAACCTGTAAACAGGGCAGGCAGAGGGAACTTCTGTCCTCAGAGGAGGAGGAATGGGTGAAGATGGCAGAAAAGCAAACAGCAGCTAATAGAACAGGTCCAGGAAAACCAGCCTTGATCTAGACCCTCAGAAGATTCCTCAAACACGCCGTAGACCCAAGTGCTTGGGCAGCCACAGGAGCAGAAAAGGTAAGAGATACAAGGAAAACTCAACCAAGAAGTTACGTGTTCAATGTTGCCTGTGCTTTACCTTCATAACAGGCTTGATGTCAGTAATGAACCATTTGCAGGGCACTTGGAACCAATTGTAGAGCCGGACTGTCTCAACCTGGCACTGCCCAACGAGGATATCGGAGAACTGCAGTGTGTTCTTGGAGAGGTCGAGTGACAGTTCCAACACAGTGGCACGGAGGCGGATGTGAAACATGGGGCCCTTTGTTACCTGTAGAAGGACAGAATTCAGCAGAGGGTGCAGGTGACATCTGCTGCTGTGCCCAGCCTGCTGCTTGCCCCAAGAGCTGTGGTACCTTTATGGGCAGCAGCACATCCACATCACCCTGCGGTTGCTGGGCACTTTCAAAGCACACTTCAAATGATAAGAAATGTTTCATAAGCATGTTAAGGCCTTACAGGTGTCCTGGCTGAGAGGTCTGGGAAAAACCCCATGCTGTGCTGTGACCTGGACAAAAAACTTAAAGAATGCACCTGAACACCCCTTGGACACAGTGAGCCACTGTGTGATGGAAGTGCAGCCTTGCCTCAAGGCCTCTTTTGGGAGTCTCTTTTGATCCACCAGAGGATCTCACAGGCTGTTTCCTCAATGAAGGCTGAATACAAGTGCTGTGACAGTGTGAATTCCAAACAAAGCACTTCCAAAACACAGCTTTCCAAAACAAAACACTTGTTGCAAAACAAGCTCACAGAGTGCCCAAAGAAACTCGATGCTTGTGGGAGCCAAGGGCAGAAGATGGTGAGAGGTGACCAGGGTGATGAGCCCATCTGGCCCGTGCACTGGAGTGTCAGGGCAGTTGTAGGCAGGCCAGGTCCCTGGGCATGGCTGGACTGGAGAATTCTGCCTCTGAAGCTCCCAGCAAGGGGACTGAGAAGAAAAAGCTCAAAAACCTCCGCAAGCTCAGTGGTTTAAGCTAGTTTGTCTGAGACATCTCCTTCATGCCCACAGGAAGTGTCTCCAGCACTGCTTACCTGTGTCCTGCAGGACAGATACATCGACCTGGAAGGACACTGGGATCTGCCCAGGGTTGGTGATCTGCAGAGTGCGTCTCTCAGTGAAACCCTTCAGGACAGTGCCCATGTCCAGGACATACTCGGGCAGCTCAACTCTGCAAGGAGGAGTAAGGACAGTCCTTAAACCACAGCCTGCCTACATGTCCACCTGGACAGAGGAAACAAAGTGGCTATTTCTTTATTCACTTTATTTAAAAACTCAGCTCAAGTCTATGAAACCTGACGCCTGACCACCTGGCAATGACTTTGGGAAGTCACAGGGAGTGCAGGTCCTAGGTTTTATCAGCTACCAATGGTACATGGAAATAAAAGTAGTTTAAAATGGACACTGGTCACAGTTTCTCTGCTATGAAAAGCCAGTAGAGGTGAGTCCACTGGGCCTCCACTGGTCTCAGTGCAACTACTTAGCCTGGTGTACAGCCTGAGCCTGAAATTGTTTTGGGGCCTAGGAATAAGATTTGCCTGTACAGGAAATCTTCACTGCTCTGCAACCAGATCACATGATCTGTTCTGCAGAGCATCTTCTTCCTCAACTGAAGCCTCCTGTGCTTGTGCTGCATCATGATGGTGCAAAGGGAGGGACCAAGTTACCGAGATAAGCCCTGCCACCCCACCAGGATTCAAGTCATCTGATCTAGGGTTTTAAAGGGTTTGCTGACATGTGCAGTTCCCTTCCCCTTTTGTTTAGTGTGCTCTGTTAGTTGGAACCAAGACATCAGCTGGGAGCTGTCTCTTTCAGAGCTAGTCATCAGGGACAGAATTTATGCTGTCTGGAAGGGCTTGAAGGTCTGCAGTGGATCTCCCCAGCTCTAGGGACAGAACCCCACACCTGGGGGGAGCTGAGCAGTCCAAAGCTCAGCGTGGTGCTGGGGAAGGGAGGGCACTCAGCTGCTGACACATAGTGTGTCACAGCCACCGGGACAAGAGCCTTTGTGAATTCTAAGCTATTCCCAGCTCTGCAGACATGAGGAGCTCTCAGAAGAGGAGGACATTGCTGGGTGTTTCTGACGGGGCACCTGGAGATGGGGATGGGAGTCCCTACTCACTCAACAAGGCTCTGGCGCAGCTGCTTGTCAGGGAACTTGGTCTTCGGGGAATGGGATTTGAGATTTTTCTGCAGATCCAGAGCAGCCTTCTCTATCAGCATGCTCACCATCTTCATCTGCAGCTGAGGCTTTGACTGAGGAAATGGAAGACAGTGCCTGGTTAGCAAAGGTTCTTCCCAGGGCCCAGCATGCACCTGAAAGAGGATCTCACCCTACTCTTATTAGGAGGGGATGTGGGGTCCTCCTGTCTGGGCTGCTCAGTGTCTGTGACACTCCCTGCTCCCTTAGCCAGGACCTCATCTCCAGCATCTTTGCCTGCCCAACCACTGCTGGCAAAATTTCCTTGATCTGGCCAGGCAGGCAGACAAGCCAGGAACCTTCCAGAGCTCCAGATACTTGCCTGCCCCCAGCCAGGACCAAGGCAGCTTGGACAAAAGCTGTCTTGAAAGGGAACCGGGACCAAGCTGGTGTCTTAGAGATGAGCACAGCCAGCACAGTCCTAGGGCGCAGTCAGGCAGCTGCTGTTCAGGTCTGTAAATCTGGCAGGGCTTGGCTTGGGACTAACAAATTCCCCAGCAATAACCTGCATCTCCTTCAAAGCACCATCAACCCTTGAGCATGGCCTTCAGGATCTCTCCCTGAGGTAGCCAGGAAACTACCCCAGAAGAGACCATGACCAGAATGGCAGCCCTAGGGACAATGCTGAGGTGACACATGGTTCTAAGTGGGCAGGGAGGTCCCAAGTGCCATCAGGGCACTGGGAAGCTGCTGTGGGCTGCAAAGGGCTCAGGTGACATGGAAAAGGTGGCATGTGCCAAATGGGGCTGCATCTGCTCTTACTACAATGCCAGAGCCAGGCAGAAGTAACTTCAGGTTCCTAGTCTTTGGCTTCCAAGTCTTCAAGGTCTGAGTCTTTGGGGTCTGAATTTTCACAGTCGGAGGCTTTGATGTCTGAATTTTTGTGGTCTGAGTCGTTGGGGTCTGAGACTTCAAAGTCTCAGTCTTTGGGCTCTGATTCTTCTTCCCAACAACTGATTTATTGCTCTCACTATCTTGTTTCATGTGTTTTACAAGCTGTTGCAGTGGCTTCTCATATTTTTCATCGCCTGAAGGAAGAAAATATCCACAAAGAGAAGTGTGAGCAAAGTGCCATTTAAGCTGGGATGTCCCTGCCTCCCAACAGTGGCTTCTTCCAGAAAGAAATTCCTTAAGCCATCTAAGGAAAGTGGATGCTGCTGCTCCTCTCTGAATCCTCATGTTTGCTCCCACCCATCGTCCTCCCCACAGAGGAGAGTCTCATCCCCTGCAATGTCATGCAAGTCCAACCCTGCCAGAAGCCCTGCCAGAAGCCCTGCCAGCCTCTCTTACAACTTTCCCAAGCCTTTCAGTCCAGCCATCATCCTTCAGGACCCTGCCAGATGTGCTGGCAAGCTCTGCAGGATGGTTCCTGGGACAAAGGCCACATGGGATCCTCTGCTCAAGACTCACAAAGCAGCTAGATGGCTTGAGTTGGTCTGGGAGTCCTGCAGCCCTCCAGGCTTGGTGCAGGTGGGCATGAGCTGCCCTATGGGCATTTGGTAGGGAACAAAACCAGAGGGGCCCTTCCTGGCAGCAGACAGGCAGTGCCCACCTTTGATGTTCCAGGGCAGGTTGACACTGATCATGGGAAAGGACGCTTCTCCTTTCAGACAGATCTTTTCCGGCTCCAGGTCACCCACTTTAAGTTGGTAAATCCTGCTGAAGGCTCCTGGTAATCCTGGCATGTAAGAGAATTTCAGCACTTGCTTCTCACCAGGTGCAATGGAGCCCTGCAGGAATGGGAGAAGAGGAAGGGAACGCATCATTGTTTGATGGCTCAGGGGACAGACAGGCTGAGAGGACAGGTTCTCTATCTAGAAGAAACCATCAGACCACAGCACCTTCGCGATGAATATTACAGTGTTGGCAGTCGCAATTGTTAGAGTAAATACTAGGTGTTTTATAATGTTGACTTTTGTAAAAGAAGCTTTGCTAAAGTTCAGAGTTCTTTTAATTGTGAATGTTGTGTTGTGATACCAATGTTGCTGAAGAGTTGTTGTAATATTAACATTTAATCAATGAAAGAATGGAAAGCTTTTCAATTTTGAAAAGTAACAAATGACCACCACTAGGACAACTGCACATACTCCAAAAAGACAGGACAGAGGAGGAACTATTAAAATGTTTGAATTCATATAACTGTTTATAAATTTGTATTAGGCTGATGCCATACCCAGGGCATATAAGGGGTGTTTCTGTGTTGACTGATGTGCCTCTGGCTGTGGCTAAGTACCCAAGCCAGGCACCCACCACTGTTACTTTTGCTTTATTGACTTTGTCCCCTACTGTCTCCCATTAAATTTTCTTTAAATTTTAAGTGAGGAGTGGGCTTTGTTTCTCACACCTTCTACCTTCCTTGTGCCCAAAAGGTCAAGCCTCTGACCCTGGGGTGCAGTGTGTCCTCCCAAGGGCTCGTAAGAGTCACTTGTGCCTCCTGCCAGTGTCTTCCCTGTGACAGCAGAACCACTTACCAGCCAAGGCCATGGGGGAGTCTATCAGGAGGGCACTTGTTTGACCTTCTCTGCCCCCAGCAGAAATTGCTTACAGCCCTCTCTCTCTCTCTCATAGCTGGGTTTGGGATCTTCCCCTCCAACT